TCTCTTATATCTCTTAGGAATGGATGGATAGTGATGGATTCTCTGTGTTAGAGTTCCCCAAACCATTTTTTTCCACCTGTGAAAAGCTGTGAGAGTGAGATTGCCACCATAATGGAAACAAGAGGCCAATGCTTGTTTCCAACAGTTGGCATCTAGTCATAATAGAAATATAAGTCTTGGTATGGACTGACACTTAAACTCTCAGTACATTTATTTATGTAAAAGCTGGCATTATAAAATACTTTAGATAGATAGATAGATAGATAGATAGATAGATAGATAGATAGATAGATACTTTTTAGTATTCTCTTTTAATTCATGCATGATTTCATTTCTATATGAGTAGTTGGTTTCAGTGCATGTTTCCAAGTGTTCCAACTCATCATGAACCTAAACATTCTTTTAAGGGTTAGAATTCTAACTGGATTAATGCTGATGAGATAATACACCTTCTCAAGAAGAAAATTACTATGAAGAAAAAATAAGCATGTGAAGATTTTCCATGATTACATTATAATTAAATACAATTAAAACCCATAAAGGGCACTTCCATCGGGCCAGTTGAAAAGTACCCTAACCACTTGAGTAAAGAATTATTTAATTACATTAGCTTCTTTGGCCAACAGTTGCATCACAAGAATTGAAAAAAAAATAACAGTGCTTAAACAGAATCACATGTTGTCAATGCAAATATATTATTGCTGAGTAAAAAAAAATATATATTATACCTTTCAAGTTCAAACAAAACATATTGGGAGGAATTAATAAAAAGTATCTGACACACGTTGTCTCAGTCAGTACCGTGGCCCATAGCTACAAATCATAAATTCATAGTTACATTGTGGATAACATTACAAAAACACACAAGTCCATTCTGTCCAACGTGTGTGTCTATATCATTTTGTATTTTATGTGTATACATATCCCTATGAATTGTACTCATGAAGGAAGATATCTATACATTTTATAAATTTGTCAATATTCTCAGCTAATACCACTACGTGAGAAAGGAAGTTCCACATTTCTTTCACGATTGAGCATAAAGAACCATCTACACAATATTGGTTTAAACCTCTTTTTCCCCATACATAAATTGGGGCCACGTGTCCTTATCAGGGACCTCATTTATTTACAGCTTCCATTGGTTAGTTTGCAGATAGTGATCATGACTCCTCTTAGGCACCTAAGTTGGGTAATAAATGTTATTCATTTCCTGCTCTACATTAGACTGCTTCTAATTCTATTCCATATAGGGGGGGGGGGGGGGGGGGGGGGTAAAACCTTGGATTAAACTCCTGTTTTTACCACACTTTTGTTGTCTATGTAAGTAAGGCTGACTAGTCTTTTGTAAAAATCTAGTCTTTTTCTTTTAAATTTAAACCACTTTTGCATGACGCGAATCAGTCGCCACTATTCCAGTCACAGAAAGTATTTCAAAAGCAGCCTGGCTATAACTGAACTAAACTCCATGATGACTCGTTGGTGTAAGCCATCAGGCCCCGCTGACTTCTTTAAATTTAATTTTTCTGTGCTGGAACCTATTTGAAAATTTGTGTGTGTGTGTGGGGTGGGGAGTGAGTGAGTGTGTCTGTGTGTTTGTATGTGTCTGTGTGTGTGTCTGAGTGTGTGTGTGTTATTTTGTGTGAGTGTGTGTGTGTTGTGTTTTTTTACGTGTGTGTATGTGTCTGGTTGTGTTTTTGCGTGTTTTTTTTATCTGTGTTTTGTGTTTTTGTGTGTTTTTTGGTATGTTGTGTGTGTGTCTGGTGTGTGTGTGTGCGTGTTTTGTGTGTTTTTTTTTTGTTTGTGGTGTTGAGTGTGTCTGAGTGTGTGTTTGTGTGTTTTTTTTTTGTGTGTGTGTTGTTTTTTTCTGAGTGTTGTGTTGTTTTTTTTTATTTGTGTGTTTTTTTGTGTGTATTTGTGTGTTGTGTATTTTGAATGTTTTTGTGTTTTTTGCGTGAGTTTTTTTTTTGTGTGTGTGTGTTTTTGTTTTTTTTTTTTTGTGTTGTGTTTGTGTATTTTTTTTTTTTTTTTGTGTTGTTTTTTGTGTTTTTTGTGTGGGAGTGTGTTTTTGTGTGTTTGTTTTTTTGTGTTGTGTTTTGTGTGTTTTGTGTTGTGTGTGTGTGTGTGTGTTTTTGTTTGTATGTTTTTTTGTGTGTGTTTGTGTTTTTTGTGTTTGGTTGTGTTGGGTTTGTTGTTTTTTTTTTTTTTTTTTGTTTTTTGTTGTGTTTTGTTTTGTGTTTGTTGGTGTTTTTTTTTGTTTGTTTGTGTTTTTTTTTTGTTTTTTTTTGTGTGTGTGTTTGTTTTTTGTTGTGTGTGTTGTGTTTGTGTGTGTGTTTTTGTGTGTTGTGTGTGTGTTTTCTGAGTGTGTGTTTTGTTTTGTGTTTTTGTGTGTTTGTTTTTGTTTTTGTGTGTTTGTTTGTAATCCTGCAATTCATACATAGTTCACCCCTCAATCCTGCACTGCATACATAGCACACCCCTCAATCCAGTACTGCATACACAGTGCAACACTGAACTCTGTACACAGCGCACCCCTTCAACCCTGCACTTCGTAAAAAGTGCACCCCTCAACCCTGAAGTCTGTACATAGTGCCCCCTTCAACCCTGCGCTCTTTAAATACCCTGCAAGCCAATGCTTGGAGATGCTGCTCACATTGGGCTCTGTTCCTACCTGCACTCAATCAACATTCATAGTTGTATGTTCTCTGCTATGCTCATTGCTAATAACAAGTCTAGAATTTTCTGTCTATTGGTGGGTCTTGTCCCCTTTGCAGTCTGTAGTGTGCAGGAAAGGAGAAGATTGTGTGCTGTAACCTCTAGCAACCAGTGAGCTGTAATGATATGCAGTAACCTCTAGGAACCAATTAGTGAGCAGTAATAATGCGCAGTAACCTCTAGCAACCAATCAGTACGCAGTAATGATGTGCAGTAACCTCTAGCAACCAATCTTTGAGTGGTAATGATGTGCAGCAACCTCTAAGAACCAATAGGTGGGCGGTAAAGATGTGCGGTACCCTCTAGCAATTAATCATTGAGCAGTAATGATGTGCAGTAACCTCTAACAAACAATCAGAAAGCAGAAATGATGTGTTGTAAGCTCTAGCAACTGGAGAGTGAGCTGTAATGTGTGCTGTAACATCTAGGAATCTTCTCCAAGATTCTAGAGCAGGGGGAGGTATCGGGGAACTGAGCTAGAGACTCTTAGCCCTGATCTAAAATAACTCCTCCTGATGTAGCCCAGGCCGCTACTCCTAGAAAAAAAAAAAAAAAACCAAGTTAGCTCCCTCTAGCTACCCAGTAGGGTGCTACACTTGTATTTGTTACTCAATGGCATGCAACAAAAAATGCTATTGTATAAAACACCCTTAAAATACTCAAACTTCTCCTTTTTTTGAGTTAAGAATATTTTATCCCAATTAACCACTTGGTAACTGCGCTGTAGCTGAATGATGGCTACAGTGGGGTTTCCCAGTTCTGGGAGGGCATCATATGACATCCTCCCAAAAGGCACCCTTCCACATGCCCCCAGGAAATGCGCACCCGGCGATCTCCATGAATCGCTGTGTCCTACGGACACAGCTGATCAGCTGATGAGGTAAAAGGCCAATCAAAGCGGCATTTTACCATGTGATCAGCTGTGTCCAATGACACAGCAGATCATGGAGTAAATACAGATGCCGGTTATCGGCAGCACTTTCCTCACGCTGTCACAGAATGATGAAAGTACTGCCGATAACTGGCAGCTGTCACAGAGCAGATTCGCACTGATTATCAGGGCACTGATGATCAGTGCCCTGATGATCAATGCCCTGCGGTGCCGCCCAGCAGTACCACCCACCAGTGCCCAGCAGTGCCACCCACCAGTGCCCATCAGTGCCTCCCACCAGTGCCCAGCAGTGCCACCCACCAGTGCCCAGCAGTGCCACCAATCAGTGCCCACCAGCAGTGCCACCCATCAGTGCTGCTCAGCAGTTGTGCCCATCAGTGTCCAGCAGTGCTGTCAGACAGTGCCATCAGTCAGCGCTGCCCATCAATGTCGCCCATCAGTGCCACCTATCAGTAACCATCAGTGATGCCTATCAGTGACCATCATTGCTGCATATCAGTGCAGCATCATCAGTGCCTCCTCATCAATGCTCACCAGTGCCGCCTCATCAGTGCCACCTCATCACTGAAGCCTATCAGTGCTGCCTATCAGTGCCCATCAGTGCTGCCTATCAGTGCAGCCCCATCAACACACATCAGTGAAGGAGAAAAATTACCTGTTTGCAAAATGTTATAATAGAAACAAAGAAAAACGTTTTTTTTTTTCAAATGTAATGCTCTTTTTCTATTGTGCAAAAAAACAAACAAACAAACCCAGTGGCAATTAGCCACTTGCCTACCAGGCACTTATACCCCCTTCCTTACCAGGCCAATTTTCAGCTTTCAGCGCTGCCGCACTTTGATTGACAATTGCGCGGTCATGCAACATTGTACCCATATGAAATTTTGATCATTTTTTTCTCACAAAATAGAGCTTTCTTTTGGTGGTATTTAATCGCCACTGGGCACTTTACTTTTTGCGCTATAAATTAAAAAAAGTGCAAAAAATTTGAAAAAAAAAAAAAAAAAAGTTTATTTGTTTCTTTTATAAAATTTTTCAAACAGGTATTTTTTCTCCTTCACTGATTTGCGTTGATGAGGCGGCACTGATGGGCACTGATAGGCGGCACTGATAGGCAGCACTAAAGGGCACTGATAGGCAGTACTAATGAGGTGGTACGGATAGGCGGCACTGATAGACAGCACTAATTAGGGGTCACGGATAGGCGGCACTGATATGCAGCACTGATAGGCGGCACTGATAGGTGACACTGATGATGGGTACTGATAGACGGCACTGACTGGCATCACTTCTGGGCACTGACTGGTGGCACTGACTGGCACAACTCCTGGGCACTGACTGGTGGCACTGACTGGCAGCACTGCTGGGCTGCACTGGTGGGTGGCACTGGTGGGCAGCACTGGTGGGTGGGCACAGGTGGGTGGCACTGGTGGGCACAGGTGGGTGGCACTGGTGGGCACAGGTGGGTGGCACTGGTGGGCACAGGTGGGTGGGCACAGGTGGGTGGCACTGCTGGGCACATGTAGGTGGCACTTCTGGGCACAGGTAGGTGGCACTGCAGAGTGGCACAGGTGGGTGCACTGCTGGGTACAGGTGGGGGCACTGCTGGGCACAGGTGGGGGCACTGCTGGGAACGGGTGGGCGGGGCTAGTGGGCGCACTGCTGGGCGGAACTTGCGGGTGTCACTGCTGGGCACCGATCATCAGGGCACTGATCATCAGTGCCCTGATGATCGATGCCGATCCCCGCTCTGACAACTGCCGGTTCTCGGCAGTACTTTTCCTCATGATCTGACAGCGTGAGGAAAGTGCAGCCGAGAACCGGCACTTGCATTTCCCTGTGATCAGCGTGTCATTGGACACCGCTGATCACGTGGTAAAAGGCCGGTGGGATCGGCCTTTCACCACATCACGTGATCAGCTGTGTCCGTAGGACACAGCGATCACGGAGATCGCCGGGTGCGCGCCCCCTGGGGCGCGCAGGAGAGCGCGTTCTGGGAGGACGTCATATGACGTCCACTCAGAACTGGCCGGCCGTGGTGAAGCCGTCATATGCGCGGTCGGCAAGAGGTTAAATACCCCCAAAAGAAAGCTCTATCTGTGTGGAAAAAATTATAAAAATTTAATATGGGTAAAATGTTGCAGACTGTACAATTGTCATTCAAAGTGAGACAGCGCTGAAAGCTGAAAATTGGCCTGGGCACCAAGAGTATAAATACCCGGTAGGCAAGTGGTTAATATCACATAGTAGGGACTGCATTCAGCTTGAAATAATATTCATACATCTGTTTAACCATTCTTGAGATTTGCAAAGCCCTGAAATAGTATAGCTCCTTTTTCTTTTTGAGATTTGGATGGGGTTCTTCAATGTCTAGTCTGGACACGCCAATTATTTCCTCTTTCTACAGTATGGAGATTCCATGTTGTGCCTTATGCCTTATTTATTTAAAGCCTAATGGTGGCTATTTTTAGTACACAGCCTTGAACATTTTAATAATTTAAAAAGCAACTTTCCCTGCAAGTCACACTTTCTGTCTGGTTCTGTCTTCCACATACTGTACTCTCTGCCTTGTGGACAAGTGTCTTCCAGGTTGAATGATGCCTAGCGTCATTCATCCCATTTCCTGTGAGCTTAGTGTATTATGGAACCACCCCATGGGGGTGTATTATCATGTCAACCTAGGCTCACAGTACAATTTCATAGACATCTGTGCTGATGTGGTAATGTCAAGTAGTCTTTTTTCATCATTTTGGACCACCCAGAACTGAAGGAGGAGCCAAGCAGGAGAGAATCCTGCATGTTGCATGACCAGGCAAAAGACATCTGAAATAAGGTATATGTTGTGGTAAAAATGTTTTTTTTTTTTTTTTTATTTATGCAGGAGGGCTCCAAGGGATGTTGAGGTGGGGTGTGGGGGAAATGGAATTGGGCTTTAGCAACAAAATTATTATATATGGTAAATGGGAATATGACGAGTAAATTACCAAATAAACACAATGTCCCACATCCCTGAGGAATACATTCTGGAAATATAGAATTGTGGGATTTTGATAAACACATAGTATTGTTGTTAAAAGAGATTTTTCTCCATTTTATTACAAACCAATTTTAAAATTGTAAGTAGCTACAGTGGTTCTTGAAAAACATGGCAAACTTGGCTGTTTTCTACAGTTTTGGAGAGTGTAGCTTCCCTACGTTTCACCCATCCTGGGCTTCCTCAGGGAAAAGGATAACTTATCCAAAGTACAGTCTACAATTATATAACACATATAGAATCAAGCATAATTGCAACAAGGACCGGTCATTGTTATACATAAAAAACTGTTCAGAAAATTATCTATTGAGCCCTATGTAGGCGTTATCAGGTGAAATTGTATGGACGCCCAGGGCGAGGTTTCTTAGAATTTTCCGAGATCTGCACCTCAATATGTTCTGCCCGTGAATTCAAGCCACCTGTTTTTCCGTATTGTGTTTATGTGAGGTTCATATATCTCTTCATAATATTGACAGTATGTGCATAAAATTATACTTTGTCATTGTATGCTTAGTTGTCGCTGTTCCATTTCCTTGAGATGGTGGTGTGACCCTCTTACCAATTATTATTTGTTTTCTGTTAGTGTGTTATTACTTTCTACCACTAGATGACGGCTGTAGTTTTTTTGCTGGTGCTCTTGCATTGGTATTAATTTCCTTGATCATCGGTGGTGCTGTGATGAATCCTACTGTTGCTTCCCGTGCAGTTGCTCAATGGCTTTGGGGCAGCCTTGGTTTGCACATGCGCGCCGATGATCTCCACGCATGCGCAGTCATACATTGGACGGCCGCACCTGACCAATGATGTCACAGGTCGGCCTGGTAGAGGATATAAAACAGGAAACCAGTGAGGACATGACCATTTGGCCATTGAGGTGTTGCTGAACATTGGGCTGTGATTGGGAACTCATACTTGGTGAGGCTATATGTATTTGGTGAGGCATACATTCAAAATCGATGATTAGTGCACAACCATTTTGGTGACTTTTTAAGAATCATTCTCTGAGAAGTTTTTTGGCCCTTACTTTTATAGTATGGATCTGTGAGGAGTGAAGGCTATTGTTGACCCCGAGTGGCAAAGCTTTGACATTGATTATCCTTCTCACCTTGGTTATTGTAAGCTATCTGTATACCTATTAGATCATGATAGCTTCTACTGTGTTGTATGTATGTTGATGGACATACATTTATATCTAGGTGGATTTTTAACCGTCTTTATATCCTCTGCAATTGCACAGATGCCTTGGCCATGTAGATGCATCTGTATGCTCTTGAATGGTTTCAGCAGCATGATTTTGATGGTAAGCTAGGGGCTCATACACATTTTTCTGAACAGTTAAAAAAAGCTTTATGTATATCAATGACTGGTATTTGTTGCAAGTATGCTTGATTCTATATTTTGTATATACCGTAATTGTAGACTGTACTGCAGATACGTTATCCCTTTCCCTGAGGAAGCCCAGGTTGGCGAAACATGTAGGGAAGCTACACTCTCCAAAACCACAGAAAACAGTCAAGTTTGCCATGTTTGCCAAGAAAACACTGTACCTACTTACAATTTTAATATTATATATGGTAGTTCGGACGTTTTGCAGTGAAAACAATGTGCTATAAACGGTCCCCTTTAATAAACTTCCTATTGGTGTGGGAGGGTAAAACCCAATACACTAGTGAGTGCTCAAAGCAGTAAAATGGAGGTGCAGATTCCAAAATTAAAATTCCAAGAACACACCAGAACATTACTGGAATTTTCAATAAAATTAGCTATTTAATGCCCATCACAGTACATTTTGCAATGCATCAGGAGCGTCCCTAGAGTTGGTGTCACCCGGTGCGATAACACTTGGTGACACCCCTCCAACGATCCCCACAGAATGGATCGGATCTGTGGATTGAGCATAATTGGATCGGAGTCCGATCCATTATGCTCCCCAATCTGCAGATTGTCGGCATGCAACATATACGGGGTGACTGCGGACCCGCTCCACGAAAAGGTAATTGTAAAGCAAGCCAATTGATCCCCGCAGGATGGATCGGATTTTGTGGATTGGGGAGCATAATGGATCGGACTCCGATCCATTTGCTCAATCCGCAGATTCCGATCTATCCTGTGGGAGATCATTGGCTTGCTTTACAACATTACCTTTTAGTGGGAGCGGGTCCGGTGTCACCCCGTGCGGTAGCTGTCACCTGGTGCAGCGTGCACCCCCCCCCGCATCTGCCTAGGGACACCCCTGTAATGCCATAGATTGTGATATACCAAAAAAAAGAGCTAGTTTTACTAAATATGAAACAAAGAGCTATTTTTACAATGAATCATGATTTGAAGGCAATTTTCTTGGAATTTTTTTTACATTTACATTCTTATGGTCTTAAATTAGAGATGAGCGAAGTATTCAAAAATTCGAATTCGACTGATTCGGCGAATTCGTTGGAAAAATTTCGATTCGAGTCGAATATAATTCGCTGCGAATTTTAACTTATAAAAGGGTTGTTTCTAGGCTTCAGAGAGACTTTATATTAGTGCAGAACACTGTACCTTTAATTTAAATGCCCTTGGAGTACTGCTGGGGAAGAGAAAATAATACTGACAGTCAGTACTATGACATGCAGATGAGTGCCGTCGATCTTAGAATCACCGACACACTTCACTCATGTTGGGCAGTCACGGGGGCCAAAAAACCAGAGTGTGGAGCCACAGTGTGGCGGTGGAGGCAGCAGCAATGGGAGGCCATACAGCACCTATGAACAAAAATGGAAAACCACCAGCAGTGTGAGGAGACCTGAAAGTGGCACATGGCAGAGTGTGGCGATGGAGGGACAGCAGCAATGGGAGGGCCGATTACAGGGGACCCATGACACACTCTGGACCTGGCAGCAGCATGAGGAGGCGGTACAGGGGCCCATGACAGAATACGGGCCTGGCAAGCAGCATGAGGAGTTGGTACGTGGGGGCCCATGGCAGATTACGGGGCCTGGCAGCAGCAATGGAGAGGCCCCGTACAGGGACCCATGACACACTACCTGGACCTGGCATGTGGCAGCATGAGCCTGGCAGGCATAGGTACAGGGGCGCCATGACAGATTACGAGCCTGGCAGCAGCAACTTGGAAGGAGGACGTTCATGCTTCTGCACCGTCGGGTGCGTGCTCAGCAATACTGTTGTCTCTTGGAAACGGATTCCAAGAAAGACTGCTGACGGAATCCGTGTGTGAAGAGGAGTAGCAGGAGAAGGAGCATCTGACAACGAGCGTAGCGGAATATGCCAACAAGCGACAACAGGGGCCCATGACAGATTACGGGCCTGGCAGCAGCATGAGGAGTTGGTACGGGGGCCCATGGCAGATTAGGGGCCTGGCCAGCAGGCTTATGGGAGGCCCGTAATCTGCCAGCACCCTATGACAAAAAATGGAAACCCACCAGCAAGTGTGAGGAGACCTGAAAGTGGCACATGGCAGAGTGTGGCGATGGAGACAGCAGCAATGAGGGAGGCCGTTACAGGGGGCCCATGAGAGACTCTGGACCCTGGCAGCAGCATGAGGAGGTGGTATAGGGGCCCATGGCAGATTAGGGGCCTGGCAGCCGCAGCTATGGGAGGCCCGTAATCTGCCAGCACCCTATGATGACAAAAACCATGGAACCCACCAGCAGTGTGAGGGAGACCTGAAAGTGGCACATGG